AAGCAATGGGTGACTTTAGTTAGTGGCGAGTCACAACCGCCACGTCACAGTGTTGTTAAACGGACTTTTGTGGCTTTTTATAGGGAGAACGTTTGCCAGGCGAAAACCCACCACGTCCTGGAACACTGCCGCCGAACTATTTGCTGGAAGGGGGTAAACCCGAACCACCCAGCTGGCACCACGAGGAGGTTGTTCGGCCAGCCAGCCTATAGGAATGTTTGAGGCAGTGAAGGTAATCACGCCAGAGTTGTTTGTCTTCGATTGTGAAACGGGGGATCCATGTACATATATTATTCCAGGTGAGTAAGTTGTTCTCTGAGTACGAGGCAAGCTAAACCCATTTGTTTAGACCCCATGAAGGTAGCGCCTCCGGAATGGCGGAATGAGCTGCATTTGGACCAGTGTGTGGGTTTTCATTTCCTGGAGAAAGGACCAAGCGTTTTGAGGATGGGTCGGCCAGTCCCAGTGGATAAACCTTCTTGTTTTGGCGGATGTACCTGTGGGAATCTCGGGAAAAACGGGCAACGGACAAGAGGTGGCCAAACAGAGACAGCAATGAATCAAGAAGCAATAACACAGACTGGTGGCGCTCACCGGTGCCTATGATACATTCAAACTTATGTAATTTTGTTTAGTATACATAATTCGCAAGCGTGTTCTATACATTACGTCGCTGGTGTGACTCAGAATACAGATACTACGTAGGAAAAAGGTTCTGCCAGATGTCAGGTCCAATGGAATTTGCTTAACCAGACGTTTTGAATGGTGGTTGGTTTTCGTTGCTGTGAGTACTGTTTGATTCATATAGGTACAGTCTATTTTCGCCCGGCGTTCTACCAAAGTTGGAGAAGACAACGGAGATGGGAACGTGGCTGATTGCGGTTCAGGGGAAGCGGAATGTGCAGAATTCCGTTGCTTAGCAGCCGCTACGCTTCTGTGGTCCATACTCGCTTCTATTGAAGTAAGCTTATTGGTGATCCTCTGCTCTGCTTCTGCGATTAACCGGTCGCATTTCTCAGCTAGGATAAGCAAGCACTTAACGAGGGGGATTGTGGAACACGCAGTACAGAATCAAAATGCATCTTGAGAGCTATTTCGCTCCCGTAACTGTTGCTGGGACACATTTGCACATTTCGTATAGTACCATTCTAACAGTGCGAACAAGCTAGACCGATTGTAAACTACCCAATGACATTCTCTTAACCCGTAAATGCTTTTCGATGTGAGTCTCTCTGGTTTCGTCTTTCTGCCATTCAATGTGGTGTCGTTACCTGACCCAGTGGGTTGGTTAGCGTTCTGTACTTTTACAGCTTTGAGAGCGGCGCACATTGGTCAGGCGAGCGTGGTGGTTGCAAGGTCAAATGAGCGGTCGGTGTGGTCGCGCGGTCCGTGTGATGGGTTATGCAGCCGCACTGGCTGACTGCAACATGAACAGCGCTGAAAACAGATTCTTTCACAGCTGTGTTGAGAAACACTGGATCGGAGTAAGCTTAGGCTTTTCGGCCTGCCTCGAGAATTCTGTATCGAATAGTGTCACACAGAAAGGCAATCAGCTCAATGCGACTGAATTAAACGCTTGCGCTTAATCACAGATGCCAGTGAAAACGGTTAGTGATGGCACAGCTTCTAATCGTAGAAGATATTTCCACATATGATGGATCACTGTGTAGAGCTGGTAAATCCGGTTCGAATGAGCGTACAGTGACAACGCTGCGAGAAGATGAAGAGAGGATAGAGGGGAATAATCCAAATGAACAAGTAGCACGCACGTCACGCGTGTGTGAGGATGACCTTGATGATGGTGAACCCACATCAATTTACCGCGCAGGCTGGATTGCACAAGCTGACCTCTCTACGCAAACACAGCTCGCCGGGTGTCGACAACATTCGTCCAGAGGCATTGGGAGCAGCAGCAAACCAACTGGCAGGACCTTTAGCTCAGTTTTCCAGCACTGCATAGACCAGAACCAAGTTCACGCCATGTGGAAGCTTGGAATAATAAGCCCGATTCACAAAGGTGGAAGCAGAACTGATCCCTCCAACTACCGCACAGGAACCCTTCTTCCTATACTCTCCAAGGTCATGGAATCCATAGTTGCTGATGCACTGGTGTGCTATCTGGAAAACTGCAACCTCATCACCCCTGAACAGCACGGTTTCCGTCAAGAGCGGTCATGTACAACGAATTTACTAATTGCACGCAGTAGTTGGACCGAGGCAGCTGACGCTGGAGAAGGTGTTGATGTGATCTACCTGGATTTTTTCAAGACTTTCGATCGTCTAGACCATCGGATACTACTCTCCAAGCTGCAGCATTACGGGATCGGAGACCCTCTTTTATGCTGGATTGCCAACTTTCTAATTCAACGATAATAAGTGATCAGAGTTCGGAGCTCTTTATCGGACCCCATACAAGTCGAGTGTGGTATGCCGCAAGGCCCAGTTCTAGGTCCACGTTCGTTTTTGGTGTTTATTAATGACCTTGCACAGGGAATCGCTTCAAACTTCTTAAAGTTTGCCGACGATATCAAGATCTGGCTCATGACCCAGGCGAACGCCGACCAGCATCTGCTTTATAGGGACCTAGATACGGTGTATCAATGGTCAACCCAAAAGGTACTGCATTTCAAGGTCAGTAAATGTGCTTTCCATCCGACATCAGAGCAGCTACTCATACCGACTCGGAACGAAGAGATTACAACAACCAACTCTCGAACGTGACTTGGGTGTCCTGGTTCAAGGTGACTTGGGTTGCTCCAGACAATCCGAAAAGGACACTAAGACCGGGAACCAACACATCGGGCTGTTACAGCGGGCCTTTGGACAAATAAACAGCTCCATATTTCGACTAATGCTCAGCGCGTATGCTCGTCCCCATGTCGAATACGCAATTCAAGCCTGGCATCCATGGCTGAAACACGACCTTAATGCACTGGAGCAGCCACAACGTCGGGCATCTAAGCATGTAATTGGAGTGCGCAATCTTTCATACCAGGAGAGGCTGCAACGATTGGGGTTATTCAGTGGAAGCTATCGCAGACTACGAGGTGACCTGATTATGGCATACTTGATTCTGCGAGACCCACATCAGGTGTACCGGACTTTACTACGACTCAGCATCAATACAAATCTGAGGGGTCACTCATTGAAACTCGCTGTACAGTATAGCCGCCTGGAGTGCCGCAGAAATTTCTTTTCCATTCGTGTCTGTCACCCGTGGAATGCTCTCCCAGAATCGGTCGTCTCTGCACCGACACTAACAGTATTTAAAAGACGGTTAGACGATGCACTCATCCACTTACACTTTGTTACTTAACGTTACGTCTCCATCCTACACCTGGACGTTACCATGGAATTATTTGTTGCTAACTGTGGATGCTGTGAATCTAAAAGGATCTCAGGACTGCTGCGAAGCAAACGATAAGTCCTTATTTCCATAGTTAAAGTATTAACCATTTTATTATCATTATTGTTATGTCGATATCTCCACCAACTACCCAACGGGACTTGTAAAGCAACGCTTCTTAACCCGTTTAAATACATTGTTCATTGTTCATGCTCCTCCCAGTAGTTAGTGATCAGATGGTTTATGAACAGAGTATGCCTTGCATTTGTTGTATCAAAAAATGCCAGGTGGATTGAAATCCCAACCATCAACTTTGTTGGCTGAACTAATTTCAGATACATACAATGAGGTTGACTACAGATGGAGGGTATATACAACAGACAAGCGATTGTGTACGATCGAAAATAAACAAGCGTGACAATGCTACGGGATACGGTGCAACCACCGGATTGTGTGTATCACGCCCACTGTTCAAATGATTGATGGACATGTTAAAGGAGTGTGGACCGGCTCCGATTAAATTGTTGCAGCCATCTACATGCTTTTATGTTATTCCTTATAACTCCTGTATGATGCTTATTTATTGCGTTAAGCTCCAAAAGAAACAAAAACACGAAGTTTCAAGCAAACAACTTTTCGATTCATGCATACGTAGGCTAACACATTCGTATACGATAGAGTTTGTTGTATGCGTCCGTATAACAAGGACCGGAATGGTTAGATAAATTGTAATCATGATACCAGTCAGCGGATCACAAAATTGATGTCGCGTGGTTCTTTTGGAGTGCAGTCACTTCCTTCCCGGTAGTTGCGATGAATGCACAACATACTTCTGAACACACAGATCGGGGCTTGATCCTCATCATCATTATTATACACGTTAGCAGGAGGTAGGAAACACCTCAGCTACTGTGCCGCAATACATAAAATAAAAGGAAAATAAATACAACAGTTGCATACCAGCTGATCCACTAGAAACGGATGGGCATCGTTCCGGAAAGCTATCTGTCGGCTACTAGGCAACAAGAAAAATTATGATGTAAAATTATATTATGCTACGAAATGAGATCGCGGTTGGAGGGGGAGGCTAAAAGGGATGGGGTGGGACAAAGAAACTCACAGCACGAAAGTCACTGAGGTCGGCTCCTTGCCATGTCAGCAAGTGTATCCAGCCAAACGTGTTCATCGTCTTTTGGACCCCAACCAGGGAGCCGAAACGCTCCAACCGAGGCCAGCTCCGAAGTAAGGGCCTTCATTCCTCTCGACCAACTCATCGCTTGGCCACCCGTCCTCTTCTTCCATCCACATCCCCGGCGCGCAAACAGCGCACGTCCCGGGAGTCGGTGGGCTGGCATGTGCAACAACAGGGCTTGCTAGCTGTATGCGTACTGCTTCCGCAGCGACGAACAGGCTTGCTATTGTTCGATAATTATGCATAGGCTGCATAACCTATATAATATTGTGACCGGAGTTAATTAGATATTTTGTTATTACGTTTCTGATTTACACTGAATGTGGGGTGTGAATGGAACTGTGGATGGTGTTGCGCAACTCGTCCATCGTCCCTCTCTAGGCACAGGCGCTCTGTGGCCATTCACAGTCTCAATGCTATGCAACTCCGGAAACCGACGCCACCAACCACAGTCAAGTGTCAGATGAATCAGTGCTGACACGTTGCCAACATATTGATCGTAAACATTTTAAATCTGTCATCGCTGCTGCTAAAATCCGCAAAATGTGGCACCAGCACGTGTGCTTGTTCGGTTGTCTAATCGCTCTTTTAATAATTATCCAAACATTGCACTTAAATCAGACACAGTTACCTTCGTGGACAGATACGGAATATCCAAATCTTCAGCTACCAGTAGAAGGGCGGCTAACACAGCTGTTTAAACGCAAAGTACTCTTGCAATTTCTTGGCTCAGGATTATGTCTTATCTACTGGTCAGTGACATATACGATGGCCACATTTCCGAAGCTCACGATGAAAAGCAACTGGAATTCTGCCACTACATCTACCGCAATTCTGTGGCGTTTCATAGTGAAGCCCTACCTGATTGGATGCTTCTTTCACAGCATCTATTTTCTGTTGTTGATTCTGCATGAAACAGGTACCCTGAAACCGGAACTGGAAATCCAATGGCGCAACGTTCTTGATCGGATTCGACACAACAGTACCAACAGTAAGTGAAAGATAAAGAATTTAACTCCTAAGAGTCTGAAACAAAAGGCAGCTACGCGAACACGCTTGTTTTCGGTGGTTCGCATCAGGCTAGCACACCAGAAAAGATAGGAATACAGCGAACACAGAGTATTTAAGTAAGATGAATCAATGAAGTGAATTAATAGGTCAATGAGATTAAGTGACGGCACTAGCTAGGGCAACATTAAATATTTATTAATATTATTACTATTATTAGTATTATCATTATTATTATTATACACGTCAGCTAGAGTTTAGAAACACCTCAGCTACTGTGCCGCAATACATAAAGGAAAAGGAAAATAAACACAAGAGTTGCACGTCATCTGATCTACAAGCAACGGATAGGTATCGTTCCGGTAAGCTACCAGCCGGCTACTAGGTAAAAAGAAGATTATTATGTTTTACGCCACGAAATGAGATCGTAGATGGAGGAGGAGGTTAAAACGGATGACGAAGGACAAAGAAACTCACAGCACGAATGCCACTGTGGTAGGCTCCTTGCCATGTCTGCAAGTGCATCCAGCCAAACGTGTTCATCGTCTTTTGGACCCCAACCAGGGAACCCTGATGCTCCAACCGAGGCTAGCTCCGAAGTGAGGGACGTCATTCCCCTTTACCAAGTCATCGCTTAGCCACCCCTCCTCTTCCTCCATCCACATCCCCGGCACGCAAACAACGCACATCGTGGAAGTCGGTGGCCTGGCATTCGCAACACGTGGCCCAGCCATCGGAGCATGGTGCGTGAAATGACGGTGCTGAGCGGTTCAGTTCCTTTTTCTGTGCCGTAAACAAGGCGTCGAACATGCTCGTTACTCACGTGGTATTTCCAACAGATGTGAGCCAAACTGCGAAGGCACCGATGGTCGAACGGAACTAGCCTTTTCATGTCCGCCGATCTTAGGGGCCAGGTTTCGCAACCGTAAAGAAAGGTCGAACATACCGCTGCATTATACACTCGACCCTTCAGGGCAAGAGTAATGTCGCGATGCCGCCATAGGTGGCGAAGGTTAGCAAAAGCACTTCGAGCTTTAGCTATGCGGTTCGTGATCTCGTCTTCGAGCCCATGGGTGCTGATACAACTTCCCAGATAATTGAATTTCTGAACGACTTCTAGCTGGTCCCCACCAAGGATCAGCGCAGGAGGCGATCCCTGCCAATCTTGAAGGAACGCTTTTCATTTCCATGGTGCAAAGCAAAGCCTAAAATGGCTGACAAGCAGTGCTAATCTGTCCAGCGGGACTTGGCACGTCTGGGAGCTGTCACCGATGAGGATAATATCGTCTGCATACTCTAAGTCAAAAAGTCGTTCTCCTGGGAGTATCTCCACACCTTCCAAGTCATGTCCTGTAAATGCAAGCTCCATGACTTCGTCAATAGCGAAGTTGAAGAGGAAAGGTGACATAAGACAACATTAGTGGAAAGGTAAGGTGAAGTGCCAGAATCCGCACGATAAATCGCATTGGTCGACAGGTAATTGGGCAGCTCATGCGCTCAAAACTTTCCAAATGATAAGCGAATACATAAAGCTGGTAGAACTTTCATCATCTTATGTGTTCCGGCAGACTATTTGCTTGTTTCGAAACGTTTCCTGAGAGTCTTTTAGTTTCTTCTGGTCTGCGATTTTGCGCACGTGTTGTTTTCTTATGTTGCCTCATTCCGGGCAGTTGTCCTTTCAGCACCACAGACTGGTGTGGGAATCACAGATGACAAGTGCGATGGTAGCGGGTACAATGTAGTGGCCTGGAGATTGTCCTGTTTGTTTGTCTAAAATGTTATTAAAATATAATATCATTCGGTACATGGACAAATTAGTAAGGTTGCCTGTTCGCACGATGACAACATATGTTTGAGTCATCCAGACGAATCGCATTCGCGCGCTTCTGGCTTTTCCGCCTCGAAGGGCGTTTGCTGCGTCTCGGCTGGTGACTAAACCTTTCCCCTAGCTAGAACCATTTTACGGTGCTTTCAACTAGTAATCATTTTACAATCTTTATAGATCACAAATCACTCGTCTATGTCTTCCGGAACCCTTCGCCCCGACACTCTCCGCGTGAATTTCGTCATCTAGATTTCGTGTCTCCTTTTTCGACGGACGTCTAACACGTGCCTGGCAAGGATAACGTCGTGGCGGACACGCTTTCACGAGTAAACTCTTTGGCTCCGGCCGATTAGTCGCTCGACCAGTCAGCTGTGGCCGCTGCGCAGCAAGCCGAAAAAGACTTAGTCATTCTTCGAACAGTCCAGGTTGAAGTTGGTACGCAGAGCGCTTCCTTCGTCTACAGGTACAATAAACTGCGACGTCTTTACCGGACATCCATGTCCACTGGTACCAACTGCCTTTCGCCGAGAAGTCTTTGATACGGTGTACAACATCGTGCATCCTGTCATCCGCGCTTCAGCCAAGATGATTGCCGACAGATACGTCTGGCCCAAGATGCAGCGCGAAGTCAGACTTTGGGCACGCAACTGTCTGACCTGCCAGCGAGCAAAAGTTCATCATGCTGCTGCGCTAATAAGACGCTTCCCGTCACAATCAACTCTATTCGCTCACATCAACCTCGATATCGTTGGACCATTTCCACCGTCCAAAGGCATGGTCTACATCCTGACCATGGTGGATCGCGACACTCGTTGGCCTGAAGCTGTTCCAACTCTCGATGTAGCAGCTGAGACCATAAGGCATACCATGGATCCCGCAAATACTACTATTTCGCTCTGCAGTATTCATACATTCTTCTCCGGTCACGTGCTTCCATCATACGCCACGCGTATCTACGTAAATAATAAAATAAGTGAGTAAACTAAATCGCCGTAACTACGCCCGCCCCTACGCGGATCCGAACCGGTGATCTTATGGTTGCAAACCAGACGCGCATACCACTCGGCCACCTGCCCACCATTGGGCACCGGCCTAGGTTAATAAATCTAATTCCTCTGAATCAAATTCCGATAGTTCTAAGTATGCCCAAAGAGTCCGGCCAATGGTCCTCCCACGAACCTGATTTTAATTCCGACTTCCAACCCGCAAATTAGAATCCTCATGCAGATCGGACAACTGGCTGGCCTAGCGCGCACTCTGGAGTCTCTCGCTATAGTTGGGGTCCCGAGAAAGGTTGTTAACATCCCTTGATTATTTCGAAACGGAATATTTCTTGCGTCTATCTGACGACCCAGCTAAGCCACAGCTGGCTTGGCTGGTGATAGTATCGTATAGAGTGAAAAATGAGGTCGTTCTGTTCAACTAGTTCCCGACTGACAGCCGAATTGTCGCGATTCGGCTTCAAGTCTCATATAGGATCAACAGATATCATGGAGAGAGATATCCGCTTACGCGGACTACACTAGCTTTTAGGAAAAGTCGAATAATCAGATGTCTTCGACAACCGCTGCTTGCGTTCGATTGCTCGCGTATGGTGGCAACGCCATGTAAGCAACGCGGAAGTTAAAAGCAGAATCATGGGAGCGGACAATCCTGGTCTTCAGAGCATAATCATCCAGCACTAATTGGGTTGGCTCGGTCACGTACTGCGCATGCCGGCCCCCCGCATTCCACGTCGCGCATTATTTGTACTTCCTGGAAGCGAATGGAAAAAGAGCCGCGGCGGATAACCGATGACCTGGAAAAGGAGTATGAAGGTTCTAACTCCGTGTCTAGCGTCAGTTGAATCCGTGCGTCTTTTAGGCTGGAGATGACGTGAAGTGGATTCCTAATGGTTGGAATACTTGGACGATATGGACCGCAATAGGAGTAACTGGCGTCAATGCTGTTCTACCGTCTCTTTATCCTGCACTTTTTAATGTTGAACAAAATATGAAACAAGAAACCTCAAAACAGCACGTGTGAAACTGAAAAGAAAACATTTTTCTAGCGTTTTACTCTTTCTCTGCTCGTTGAACATTAAATTCTCCTTTCCCTACCACCATGATTCGGATGGCACATTTGTCTGTTTACAGACTTGTGAATATATATATATATATATATATATATATATATATATAACACGGGTAAGTCCGAAGTGTCCATGAGAACATCATCTTGGTGGCCGTAATATCTTTAATTAGGGTCGCTTTGACAACGGAGATAAACGTAATATGAGAACAACCGCGTCATTCTCTCGAGCATACACTTCAGGCATTTGGGTTTGCCGAGCAACCTCCGCGTGGTGCCAATTGGGTGGTTCGTGATAATCCCGTTCCAGCAAATGGTACGGCGGCAGTGTTCAAGGATGTGGTGGGTTTTTCCCTCGCAAGCGTTCTCCCTATAAAAAGCCACATATGTCCGATTAACAACATTGTGACTTGGCGGCTATGAATCGCCACTAAATTAAGTCACTGCACCTTGGCTCAGCTTCCGAAGATGATCTGAATTCACAATGGGTGCGCATCAAAGATGACTTAGATACTGCCAGCATTGACAGTGGCGGAGTTACCTGTCACTCTCCGAAAAGCTGGATCGCAACTGCCTCCTTGTCGCTGATTGAGACACGCTGCTCGATCCCGAAGGACGCCAGCTGTAGCGACGAACGCCGATCCCTGGGTCGAGTGTTGCGCAGAAATTTGCCAAAGGATCGTGATGTTTGGTGGTATGAATGTGCTTGAGAGATGGAACTCGCTAATCGGGCCGGTAAGACCAGAAAACTGTTTCATCTCATCCGAATCACCGAATGTTTCCGATCTGGTGTAAGTGAAACAGTGTGCAAAGAGGATGGCTCACTGACCACTAATCTTCAACGACGGTTAGAACGATGGGCTGAACATGTTTGCTCACGGTTTTGCTGGCCACCAGCCCCAACTGCTTCCACCGAAGCGTGCAATGGTGCTGAGTGGTCTATCTCCATAGATCTTCCCTTTCACCAAGAAACCTGGCAGGAACTTGGTCTACTGAAGCCTCATAAAGCACCCGGCCCTGATAGTTTTGAAGATAGTGGCCATCCGCTGATGCAAGAACTCACCGCTTTGTTCTCAGAACTCTGGTCA